GTTCTAAAAGCTGCAAGCTCTACTTTGTTTTTCTTCAAGTTTCAGCAAGATCAGAAGGTTCTTGCTATCTGTACCCCCATCAGCAGTCTGTTTAGGGAGAATGGCTTTCACTAGGTTCATTCATATTTTTCCTTTCTTTTTTTTTATAAATACAAGCATATTCAGAATTCACATTGGGTTTACTAAAAGTTCTTTTAAGTGCTTAGTATGTGTTACCAAAAGGGACCTCAAACCTAAAGAAATATGCTAATTTAAATTTCTTGTAATTTTGTCTCATGATTGCTTAAACTGCATATGAATATCAAATTTGCACAATAAATGTTTTGGAAAAATATCTTTCTTTTTGCTTTAAATTTTCCATCCTCTTTCATCTTCCATCTTTTTTATTGTAATGAATACACTGATTTCCAGAAAAATAATTTCCATATTTTGAATTCTTTTTTTCTCATAGATCATTAACTTCAGACATTTAAGAAAATTCTTTCCCTTTATCCTCCCTACATCTTACCCCATTGTTTTACTTAATTCGTATTTTGATGTTTATTATTGTCATCTTTTCTTTTGGAAATATGGAGTGAAAGAACATTCAGGACTGTTAATAATGCCTTCATGTAATGGGGGGGGCTAAGCAGAATCATCATGTGACAACACAAAGATGATAGCAAATATTTGCAAATCATGTACATTCATATATTTTTCTACTATCCAGAATATATAAAACTCTTACAACCCAAGAACAAAAAGACAACCCAATTTACAAATGGCTTAAAAAGTTATTTCTCCAAAGAAAAGCTGATGATCACATGAAAAGATGTTCATTTTTACCACTAGTCTTTAGTGAACTACAAATCAAAACCACAAGATACCACTTTGCTCCCACTAGGATAGAAAAAATAATAGAAAATAGTGTTGGTGAGGAAGCAGAGAAATTGGCACTCTCAGACATTGCTAGCAGAAATGCAAAATGGTTCAACCTGTGCAGAGCAGATACTCCCTCAAAAAGTCGGAAATAAAGTACTATAAAACCCTGAAATTACACTGGTGTTTATAACTCCTCAGATGTGTATGAGCTATTCCCCCATAAACAAATGGTGTCCTTTGCTTCAATTCAATTCCGAGACTACCCAGAGATGGAATCAGATCCCACATACAAATCTACGAAAATTTAGTTAATAAATTAGGCACAGTAAGAGATGAACACTAATAATAAAATAGAACAGTGATGACAATATATTGTAATAAATAAAAGCATCACTACTTTTGTGCTATGGGATAAAAGAAAATAGGACTACTTGGACATAAGCATTGTAGTAGCATGACAATTGACGTGATTACCAAGATGGCTACAAGGTGACTAATGGCTAGGTAGGGAGATGCTGGACAAAGGAGTTCTGTCCTGGACAGAAAGGGATAGTGTGAGATTCCATCATGCCACTCAGAATGGCATGCAATTTCAAACATATGAATTTTGGAGTTATGGAATTTTCCATTTAATATGTTCAGACCAGAGTTGGTTTCCAGTAACTGAAATCCATGAGAATTGGGGACTTCCATACAGTTTTCCATGACCCCATACCCACAGACTTCTATTTGAGACTTAAGGTGTGATAAGAGAAAAATTCTGAGATGTCCTCAATTTAATTATAAAGGGCTGGAAGAGGAGGAAAGGTGGGAGAAATTAACCAACTCCAGGCAGAAAAAAAGATTGCTTCATAGTCCTGAATATGTTAAAGCAACTCAGATTCCTTCACAAACGCCTTAGATGCCGCTGCATCTTGCTTGCAACCCCAACCAACCCAGAAGCAAAAAGTACTTCTCCTTATAGATGCTCATCTTATTCCAAAGCCCTTCCCCAGATTTTCATTACGAAGAATGTTCTTAGCTCTGGTCCAGTAGACATTTTCCCAACTGCTACCTATCTCTGATGCTGGGGACCTAAGAACTTGTCCCAAGAATGTTTTTTTTTTTTTTTCATTCTGGCTAGCATCTGTAATGGCTCTATAAATCCTTTATTTCAGAAATCTCTCAGTCTCAAGAGTTTGGATATAGCAGATAACAGAGATCTGCAATGAAAAAAGAAAAAGAAACTAGCTACTTGAGAAAGTGACTGGTGCCAGCTTAACAAAGGAAGGCCGCTCGCCTATGGTAGTCTTCACTTTGGGGACCTAGTATTGGTGTGCAATTTCACGGCCAGTGTCATCCATGTCACCCGGGGTTCTGCCCTCTGGAAAGGAGGAACCCTTAAGAGGTAGAGCCAGGACAAGGAAACTGCTCAGTTTGGTGGTCACCAGGAAGATGTCTTTGAGAAACCTGGGGGTACTTCCCAGGACTGAGAAGAATTTCTGGGTATGGTGGGGCTTGTCCCTGGAAAGCAAGAGGTGGAGAAATGTTTAATACTTGTATAGTATGAACCCATGCTGTTTAACATCCAGGCTGAAAAACTAGATTGCTTAAAGATAATTTCATATTTTTTTTTATTAAAACAATTCAGAAGACACTTTTGGATCCTAGGTTCCTTGAGATTTCTCAGAATGAAAAAAGAAAAAGAAAAAAAGGAAGTTCCCTTTATCCTGCGTGTTTAGATTTGATATAAATAAAAATTTCCATTATCAAAGCTGTCTCACCAGTCTTCAGGTAAAAATATAAAAAGATAAAAGAACCATTGTGCTTCTTACATTAGCAGGAAAGGGAATGATGGAATTCACAGTGTAGCCTCACAGTGGTAGTAATTATTCCCATCCAAACACATTAACTTTTCCAAACCAAGTGCAACCCCTTCTCCAGTTTTACGGTCTCAACCATAGTTTTGTACCTTTTGGATTAGTAAAAGATTTTCTTTGGCTTTTGCAAGAAGGCAATCTCTCAGGAAACAATTGAATTAAACTCTGTTTGTTTAAAGAGACCTTGGGTAGTAACTCACATCTGCATTTCCTCAAAATGGAGAAATAAAAGGAGAATGTTCTGCATTGTGTGATATTCAAATAAATGGGAAAACATTTAACAAATTCCATGTCCTGAAAATGCTAGTGTCCCAATAACACTTGAAGATTTGTTAAGTCTTTAAGATTATTTTGCAGCTTTACAGTATCCAGGACACTTGCTTCATATTGTAAATTCTTATATAACAGTTATCTGGAGAGCCTCCAACTAGCCAGCATTCATTTCCTAATTAGAAGGAAAGTTTTATGTTTTTTTGTAATGTTAGAAAATATACTTGAAGAGGCTGAAGCTCAATCAGTTAATAACTGCTATTTATTAAGCATCTGGCAGGTCCTGGGCATTGTGCTAAATTCTTTGACATCATTATAATGTCTCTTCTAATAAGTACCTTATTAAATAGGTTAAAAACTGTTCAAATTTATTCCCTTTCTAAAATTTCCTAATAATCTAAAATGAAATGCCCAACCTGTGCAGAATGTCATCCAAGTAACTTTAACACGAGAATTGCTAGTATGCCTTTCCCAGTTTTTATTTTTAATGAATTGTTCTCTAATGTTACACAAATGAGATGATATGTCTTATCAGAAAACATAAACAAGTCATTGGTATTCTTAGTTTCTCTAAACCATTTCCTTTTCAGTGGGTAGCCATTTGATTTAATAAGGCACACATACTTTTAGTTATTTTATTCCTGGAAGTGGGTCAATTTATTTTGGAAACACGAGGACCTGAAGAAAATATTGGAAAAATGCAAAGCAGAAAAGTATAGAAGGATTTAAGATGATTATCACTGGGCATGAAGAAAATAAAGTTGACAGGAAGGGAGAAGGCTGCTTCCAAATTATCTTCAACAGTATGAAGAAGTGGGTGAGGTAGGGTAGCTCAGTGGTAGAGTACTTGTCTGTCATATACATGCACAGCCCCTTGAGTTGGATCCCTCCTTCCTCAAAATAAAAAAAACAAACAAACAAACAAAAAAAACCAACTTGCCAATTAACTTCTAGTTTTGGAGAGTGAGGGGTAGCCATGCCAGTTGATAGGACCAGGACTAGTTAAACACTTGAGATTAGAAATCAATTATTCCTCAATTCATACTACAAAACATAATTTTTTCAGGTTTGTGATAAAGAAAACAACAAATATGTCCTATACTGGTTCTTTTAATCTTGGGCAAAGTTGGTGACTTCCCTTCAAGTAAAACATTTTTAATCAAGACAAAATTGTGACGTCTACTAAATGTATCAGGTAATTTCCAATAGTATTTTTGACAAAAACTCTAGAATAACATCTACCTTTAATACTTTGTTTTTCTTGCAACGCTGGGGATTGAACCCAGAGCCTAATGTATTTCAGGCAAATGCTTTACCCACTAAGTTACACCCGCCACCCTGCACTTTTAGTACTTCTGAGAGTGAGAAGAAAGGTTGAATGAAAGAATAACTTATTGCCTAAGGGCTATAGGAGACCTGGTCGCTCTTACAGGAATCCTGGTCCATCTGTAGAAGTCATATAATTCTAATTCCTGAACACTCTAAAGCCATCCAGAGTTAGTTTCAGATGTAGGCAATTTACATTTATAGACGGGGTCAAGCAAATTGGACAGTTTAAGTAAGCCCTCAATGAATGGGAACATAAATATGTTAGGTCCAATAAATGGTCATATTTATGGAGTGTAGTAAAACCTCTATCTCTCTATACTTGGAGAAACCTTGCCAACTGTACTGAATGCAGTGATCATGATATTGAGTGCAGAAACTACAGGAGAGACAAAATTGAAATTGAACTTACAATTTCTGCATCTTTTTTAGATGCACTTGAATATTATCCCCATGGTAGATAATGGATAATAGATGCTAAGAAACAAAGAAAAAAATAAGAAAAAAAATCCCAGAAAACAAACCACTTCCTTTTGAACCCATTCATACATTTCCAGAATCTATATGTGGCTGTCAAATTCAATTTAATTTTTAAGAAAATATTAGCCATGTACAGATTGAGAGGAAGAGAAGGATTACACCAGACTCTGAAGTAATAAAAAATAGGTAAGCAGCACCACAGAACAGTTCTGAATGCTGTTTTATTCTTTGTAATAAGTCCTTGTCTTAGAGGTGAGGTTAAAGATCTGGGCTTGGTTTACTTTGAAGACCAAGTATGAACTAGGCTTGGTAGCATGAACTTGGAATTCCAGCTATTTCGGAGGCTGAGGCAGGACAATTGCCCAGAAGTTCAATGCCAGCCTGGGCGACATGGAAAGACTGTAAAACAGAGAGGAGAGGGAGAGGGGCGTAGGGGAGGGAGGGAAAGGGAGGGAGACAGACAAAGGAAGGAAAAAAAAAAGAAGATAAGTTCTGAGTGTTAGACTAAATCTATTTAGTCTACAAATTTCAGAAAGCTTGACCTCCAGTTATTAAGCTCCAGTTCAAGAAACAGTAGTGACACAGGCTGGCAATTCAGTGACTGAGTCAGGAACAGGAGCAAGCTCTAACCCAGGTGATATCACAATAAGTGAAATGTCACTTCCCTATGAAAATATTTTGACATTGTCATGTCTTTAATTCATTGGATACTCAAAGATACCCAAAGATACCTAGGATAAAGAATATTTATCCATGAAAACTAGGTAGTTCAGAAACATCAACTCTTCATAATTTCTTATTTAATGACAATTGCATTTAATTTCACAGTCAGCTATAGATCTCAGCAAACTTCAACTTTCACTGTATTTTTCTCCCTAAGAAGTAGGGTAAGGGCTCTAGTTTCTGCCAATAATAAAATCACATTATGTCTGATTGACCAAAACAAAGAAACCTGTTTTTTCTTAAGTTTTTTTTTCACCCCCCAATACTGAGGATTAAACCTCGGGCCTCACACATGCAAGGCAAACACCCTACCACTGAGCTACATCATCAGTCTTTGTTTTACTTTTTTTATTTGAAAATAACTTCAAACTTAAGGGAAAAGTTGTAAGAATAAGTAGAGTACAAAGAAATCTTATAGACCTCTTTATCAGACTCACCAATTGTCAACATTTGGGACAATCTGTTTTATGTCTGTACAGTGACTCATAGAAATGTATTAACCCTGCTCCTTCTAATTTTGGACTGTCATGTAGAAATGTAGACAAGAGCACCAACATTGCTGGCTACATATGTTTTGTAGAATAGAATTAAACCCATTCTCTTACACTAGTCATTGATTTATGCTTTTTCCCTCTTTTCAACAAATTATTAAATCTGAATCAAATACTTGTAAGAACATTACTTGGATAACCCACTCCCAACAGCTTGGCTAACTTTATACATATTACAAGGCTAAACTTTGTCTTTAAGTATTAAATTGAAAAATAAAATCCCAGTCTTTTCAGTGCAGAGAAAAATATATGAAAGTCATCATCTTCCCCAGATTTCTTAGCTTTGGCTCTTGCACTCCCTCTTCTGGCTAAAAGTTGGCAATGGAACAGTTCAATTAAACATGTGGATCTTAAAACTAGTTTTATAACACAGAGTCTCCAGATTGGAACTATAGTTTTAAACAAAAGGAAGGCACTGAGATGATACCAGTGAAAAAGAAATTTAAAAGATTAGTAAAAAGATGACTTCAGTGTGGAAATGGCACCCTCTGCTTACCTTTGGAATGTCAAACTGAGAAGCCAAGTTTTCATGGCCAGTGGCAGAGTCAGGAAAGGAAGAAGTGGGGGTAAAGTTTGGGGATCAGACTGTTATGGTCTAAAATAAGTAATATAGATTCATAAGAGACAAGTCATAGATTATTAATAAGTCATACTGATAAATCATCAGCTATAGATTAATAGATATAAATCAATAAATAGAAAATAATAAAAATAAAGTTAATGTTAAGATAGTTAAATATGTTTTAAGCTTTAAGATAAAAAATAACAATATATTAGTATAAACATATAGCCTTTATAGTACCTAGACATAAGACTTAAAGATGTTAGTGATAAGGTATAGATAATAAAAGTTATAAGTATGTGTGTGTGTGTGTGTGTGTGTGTGTGTGTGTGTGTGTGTGAACAGGTTAATTATAGTCATAGGCAATTATTAAGTTGATATATGTTAAGTTACAAGATAGAAATAAGACATAATCATATTAAGGCAAAAATTGTTGTAGGCCAACATTAGTAAGCATGGCTAATGTGACTCCATTGCTATTCCTGTAGGCAAGAGCCATTTCTGGGAAATCAGCATCTGAGCTGTCTTCCCTGAAAGACTTGTGTTTACTGTACTTTGTACTCTGCAAATGTACTAAAACCCAAACTGTACACCCACCTTAGAGGGTCTTTAGTTCTGCTTAGGGGCTCTTAAGTTCCCCTAACTTCTGTTTTAGCATCTGTGATTGGCTGGCTTGCATGCTAGGGACTTCCCAAGGCTTGTGGTTTTCATCCTTAAATTCCCAGCACACAGGCCAGGAAATGGCTATTCTCCCACAGAGGTTCAGTCTCTATGGGTAGATGACAGTCTCTGGCCAGGTAAGTAAAGCTCTCTTTGATTTGAATTCAGACTTAGAATGTTTTCTGAAGCAGCTCCTCATAATGAGACTCAGGGAACAATGATCTGATTACCATGGTTTTACTTTCCTCTTAGGAAACCTTTCTCTAAGTCACTACCCCTGAGATCTAGGCTTCTGGAAGGCCAGAACCCAGCCTAATTTGTCTTTGTATCATCCATAAATTGTGCATTATCTTATTGAATGAATTAAGAATGGGAAACTACAACATGAGGACTATAGATAATAAAATTTTACTCTCAATGGGATTCATGCAAAATGAGCTGGTTTTAAATGTTCTTACCATAAAAATCCAAAGATGGGTAATTATGTGAGAAGATGGGTATGTTAATTTGTTCAGTATAGCAACCTTTAAACTATCTGTATGCATCTTATAATATTATGTTTTCCATCTTAAAAATACATAATAAATTTTATTTTTAAAAAGGAGATAACCAAGAAGAAGTGGGGAAAAAGAGAATGGGCAACTAATGAATCTGCTTTTGTTTAATGTGTGTAGCCATGCTGCTCAAGTTTAATCTGAAATGCAAATATTAAAGTAATAAATCACCATAGTTCATAAATAGTAAAATATCTAGGAGCTATTAGGTTTTCAGTAGACAAACTTAATTACATCTCTCTGAATTGTCACATTTTTCAATTTGATCCTGAAATCCAACTAATTTGCAGAAATTGATTATTCATTTATAACCCTAATAATCAAGCTGGAATAGGACATAATGGCAATCCACTTGATACCCCAAACCTACAGTTATCCATTTGGTTTTTAAATATCATCCTAAATAATTCTACAGAGTCCATACCTTTGGGAACCTGTTCTGGGTTTAATCATATCTGTAACACTCCAACAGGTGAAATAATTGTCACCATGTCCTGGTACTGAGAGCTGCAATAGGGTGAAAAGCTGAGGCACCAAGGCAGGGAGGCAGCCTTCTATACAAAATTAAATTCAAATCTCTAAGGGACCAGTTTCTTTTTTTCACAGCTATTCCCTGTCTTTACATCCTTTTCTCTGCTGGGACTCAAGAAACCTTTCTATTAAGCCTTTATGACAATATAATATTATAACTAATTCTGATCAAAGGCAAAAATAGCAAAAAGTGCTGCGCATGGTGGTGCACATCTGTAATCCCAGCAGCTTGAAAGGCTGAGGCAGGAGAATTGTGGATTCAAAGCTAGCCTTAGTGAGGCTGTAAGCAATTTAGCGAGACCCTGTCTCAAAATAAAATAAAATAAAAAAGAACGGTTGGGGATGTGGCTCAGTGGTTAAGCACCTCTGGGTTCAATCCCTGGCACCAAAAAAAAAAAAAACAAACAAAAAAAGTAATACCTATCATTTGTCAAAGATCTACTGTATGCCACATATTATCTATATCCATTGCCTTATTCGATATTCTAAATACCATAGGGATCATAGAGACACACAGCTCAACTTTGGTCTGGCTGAAATCCTAAAATCCTGCCATTTGCCTTTGGCTTCAGCTTTGGAATCTGGATTTAATGGTATTTCTGGCATTCCTGAACTTGTGTATGATGGAGGTGTGCTTGGATTGGTCTCCATTGTATCTGGTCATTATGGCATCATCAGTAAGCAAACATTCAAATTTGTTGTTACTATTGAAATACATACATTGTAACTTTCAAATAAAGGCAATCATTCTACATGAAACTCAGAGTAAAAAAAAAAAAAATTCCCTTCTGTGTTTAGTGGTTGGAATGCTATCGATCCATTGGCATATGAATTTATTTTTATTATCACAAGTCAGTGTAAAAGTTATTAATTTTATGTGAAAGAAAGCATGTTAGCTTTAGGATACATATCCTTCTAGTCAACAAATGTTCATGCAAATTTAAATCAAAATACACAAAGAATAATAAAGATTTATAGATTGAATTATAATTCAGGACTTTGCAGAATTGTTTTGGAGACAGTTCCTGACAGTTAAATGACATTTTGGAAGTATTCACTTTTTTATTTTTTAAATTCTATTTAAACCATAATCTTCTAAGGAAAATGATTGCTTGGAAATTCTTCATTTTTTTTATGATTGCTTTAAAATCTGCAAGTTCACTTAGAATTTCACAAGGCAGAAAAACTTCCAAATCATTCTCCAACAAAGTCCATGATAAATCATATCGAAATCAGAAATAATAAAGACTACAGGGAAAAGAGAAGAATAATTGTTTTTAAATGAGCTCCTCCAATATCTTGCTTTTCTACCAATCATAGTTGAAAGTGGGCCCTATTTGTTAATATGTAGGTGGCTACCATAGAAGAAATCCAGCAGCTGACAGTGGAGAAACTGTTGTTTCTTCCCCATCATATCAAACTTATAACATTTGATTCATTCATTTTTGTTTTGGTGGTAGTGATCAAACTCAGGGTCTTGCACATGCTAAGCACAAATTCCATCACTGAGTGAACATCCCTAACTGTGACCAATAAAACTTGAATGATAAAAGCATGTTAATGTGGTAGTTTGACCAAAAATGGCTCTAATTCTCAACCCCTCTGTGGTCTCGAAACTTTGAATCTGACCTGGGAACCCCTCCAGATCAAGAGATGAATCTATCTCCCCATGCTTTGAGTCTGGGTAGGTTTGTCATTTACTTTAGCTAACAGAATACAACCCATGTGACTGAGACAAGTCCTCAAGAAGCCTTGCACATGTCCTCCTCGCTCTTGGCATCTTCTCATGCCATAACAGCAAGCTCAGTTACCTGCTGGCAGCTGAGAGATCACATGGAGCTGACATGATCTCCAAGTCATAGTACGGAACATTCTATACCATCAGTCCCCAGCCTACCTGCCAAGTGACGTAGCCACAGAAACTGAGCAAGCCTAGAGGAGGTCCACGGGCTGTGGCCCAGATAATCAGAACCACTCAGCTGACCCATAGGATGGTGAAAAATAAAAATAAATATTTATTATTAAATACCATTGAAGTTTTGTGGTTACTAGTAATTTAGCATTGTGTGGTAAGAGGTAACTAATGTAATTAATGACTACTTTTTAAATAACAATATTATGCTTATTTTTGTGATTGGAATATTTCTTTTTGGAGTGGGAGGGTAGTACTAAGAATCAGGTTTATTCTTTTATTCCAGAAATCTATGTCATGATGGGGATATTTGACTTTGGCCTCAGTAAGTTTAGCACTTGGCCATCAAGAATTCAGCTAAAGTGTGAATGTGGTGCATGTCTAGGAAGTAGGAATCATTATCTTCAATTTATAATCACATATATACACACAAGATACTCATGAGAGATGGAGCTTTCTCAGGTCTATCTCACTCCAGAACTGTGTTCTTTTTTTATTTTTTACAGTGTTGGGATGAACCACAGCCTCACATCTGCTAGGCAAATACTCTACCACTGAGTGAGCACCCTCAGCTCTCAGAACTGTGCTCTTAACACTAAGCTATATCCTCTCTCTGATACCAAAAATGGAGAAGTCACTCTATGACACAATGGGCAATTTCTTCCAGGTAGGAAATGAAGAAAGCCCCTTCCATCTGAAAACAGATTATCAATGTATTGAAACTAACTTTATTTTAGGGGGAAAAGATATGAAATGCAGAGCCATCATAATCTTATCATATATGGGTACACAGGTGTCCATTAAGAGCAAACTGAATTAGTGAAACACTTATCTATGCTATGCAACTTAAGGAAAGAAAATCTCTTAAAATTATTGTGTATATGTTTGGAATTTGAGCCTTTCTTTTCCTAGCAGTTGCAGAGTCTATGCTTTTATGATATGCTCCTTTCTATTATTCTCCTGAAATATTTACTCCAATATTAGGCAAGAGCAATAATTTGACCTATGGATCCTCACCCGCCACACTCTTCAAATTAGACTAAACTGACACTTGCAGGCAAAGTATGGGGAGTTAATTAATGTGACCAAGAGAGACAAAGAGGAAGGTCTGGGCTTGCAGTTCAGCAGTAGGGCATTTATCTAGCATGCCTGAGGCACTAGGTTCAATCTCACACACACTCACACACCACAAGTATCATGTGGATAAATACTCAAGTGAAAGAAAGCAATTGATTGTATGTCTGAAAGCAGTGGTTCCCAAGACAGTTGTAGTAGCAGTAGCACCAGGAAACTTGAAATGCAGATTCTCTGGCCTTACTCCAGATACATTGCATCAGAACTCTGAAGTCAGGTCTTAGCATCTGGTGTTTGTTTGTTTGTGTGGTAGGAATTGAATCCAAGGCCTTGTACATGTTGAGCACATGCTCTGCGTACTGTGCCACTGAGCTATATAGTCCCACACCCTTTATATGATTCTGGTGTTTGCTAAAATCCGGGAGCCACTAGGCAAGAAAAAGGTGCCATCAGAGGACTTTTTTTTTTCCTTTATTCACTTTTAGGTCTTGGTGTCTGATCAGAAAGGTGAAACCAGGCAGCTCTTGCCTTCCTAGATCTCTGCTCCCAGAGGTTCCTGGAGAAGTAGATTTCCTTGTTCCTTGGCTCAGAAAGTAGGGAGAGGAAAGAAGGCCAAGAGCAGGATAGGGTAGCTAGCAACAGCTTGGCCTGCCTGCAGCTGCCTCACCCTCCTTAAAGTCTTGGTGGCAGGTCAGCAGCCTTTTCTGCTCCTTCAGAGCTCTGGCTGCTTTCACAAGGTCAAAGTACCCTCTATACATGTCATGTGCAAAATATTTCAAGGAAAGTGCTTTGCTTCCAGCTGTGAAATTGATTAGTGGCCTTAAATCCCCAAAGAGTGTCTAACAGCAGCTGGAGTTGCTATTTTAAAACTGGACAAGAGAGGGGAAGGGGAATTATTATGTATTGTATAGGAAAAAAAATCTAAAAAAATATTTTTTTTCCTTCAAGTTGGGAGATCGGCACACACAGGGGAAGAAATGTGCAAGGAAGTGTGATATAATTTTACTTCCTACATTAGAATTTTTTGTTTGGATAGCCTGAACTGTAGTTCATGGCTTCTTCTGAAATTAGTATCAAGAAATTTAGCTTTCAGGCATTTAAGAAATTGCAGAGTTGGGAGATTAAATCAGCGCTCACAGCCTCTTTGGACGTTGTGTTCTTTGCTAACTGCTTGACCTGGGTGAACTGTCTTACTTGTATTCAGGAACACTCTCTGAAAGAGCAGATGGAGATCAAAAGTGCCTTGTAGAATAGACATGGTGGATTCTAGAGACTACTAGGTCTGGATTTTTTTTTTCTACCATATTTGTTGCTCTCATAAGAAAGAATTTTAAAGGTCCAGTTAAAACTTGCCAATCATTCATTGCCCAGGGACACTGAATCTACAGAATAGCTCAGCCATGGCTCAATCTGTTAATGCAACCAAAACTTTATCAGGCAAACTTTTATTTTTCACCTCCTATGGGCTAGACAATGTGCTAACCACTGGGGATATAAAAGTAAAAAGACAGTGTACAGGAAGCAGACAAATGAGATAAACGAAGATTTTAATAAGGTGTGTAGAGGTGGATAGATGTGATCCCTTTCCTCCCCATCCTAAGTGTCATGGTCAACACTCCCATAACAAAACACAGGTTAACAAGAGAGAAACATAACAAATACATTGAACCAAAGTTTTACATGACACAAGAGCTTCAGACACACAGATCCAGGGAAAACTATCCATTTTTATGCTTAGGTTAGGTAAAGAATGAACAGCTGTGTGGGAATGTAATTGGACAAAAGTATTTGAGAAAACAGTAATAGACCGAGTAGGGAAACCCAGCAAGGCCTGTATGTTCAGATTCTTCTTGGTCTTTCTGTGTAGCATCCCTTCTTCCTGCTATGGACAAGACCCTCAGAGGGTATTTTATTTATTTTTTTCTTTTTTTTTTTTTATTGGTTGTTCAAAACATTACAGAGCTCAAGACATATCATCTTTCATACAATCGACTCAATTGGGTTTTGAACTCCCCAAATACATAATACAGACTCACTTCTGTTACATACTCACATTTTTACATAATGGCATATTAGTGACTGTTGTATTCTGCTACCTTTCCTATCCCCTACTATCCCCCCTCCCCTCCCCTCCCCTCCCAACATCCCTCTCTACCTCCTCTGCTGTTGTTCAATTCTCTCCCCTTTTTTTCCCCCCACCCCCTTGCCCCTCATAACCTCTTATTATTTTGTGTATCACTGAAGGT